CAAAAATGCATGTTTTTATAAACATTTTTACGATGGCTAGGAGTAACTTTATTTAAAACAGTTAAGTTTAACAAACGATTTATTAGATAGTTGTGCTCATAAAATTTAACTAACAATTTATTACAAGGCTTTGCTCAAAATAGTGCATTAAGAAGAAAAGATGTGTTGCGATTGTGATAGTGATTATTGTGATAAACGCTGTGGACTGTACGCGACGTGTGCTTGCGTCGGATAGATGTGCACACCCCACCAAAACGTGGCAAGGCGTCGGGTAGCGTCGCATGGCGTAGCATCGGGTAAGTGTGTTCCCGGCTTAAAACGGAAATATCTCAGCGATTCCCTACGGCATGAAATTCAACTGGAGTGACGAAATACTCCATTTTCAGTGCTGCATTGGCAGATTGTCATGAACGTTACAAATTAAAAAAAAAACCATATATCGTATTTATTCAGAAATCGTGAGATGCGGTCTGAATAATTATCGATTAACGGTCACTAATCACCACACAAATATCGTATTGCTTGATTACTATTTATTATTAATATAAATTTTGATGTCAGCCAATGGGCTGATCCCTCATAGCAAGTGTCATGTTATGCTGTGAAGTTAGCGAAACTGTATATGACAGAAATGTTAAATAAAATTTACCTTATAAATAAAATTAAAACAAATTTCATTTGAGCAAGTAGAAAGTCGAAATAAAAAAATCGACATAGGGAAAATTTCAACAGACAATTTTTTATGGCGAAACCAGGATATTCCACAAGAAGTGGAAACGTCCAACATTTGGGAGTGGTGAATCAACAAATAAATTTGGTACAAACCTGACCTACCAACCTGGTCATACCAATGTAAGTCTTATTTAACAAACATTCACGGCATCCTCAAAATAATCAGCTATGTTTATAATCCCAAATTAATCACTTCATCAAGATTTTTTTAACGAGGGTTTGCAACAGCAGAGGTTATATTTACCCTCAGGGTGCCGGTGTTTTTGAAAAACAGCCCATTTTAAGTATATCGGGTTCGAATGCAGGGCCGCTGGATTCGAACCCGGAACCCTTAACCTTACAGTGATGAGCGCCGTGTCAACGCCTAAACCGTTGCGGCAACCGACGCCCCCAAATTAATCAAGATCAAGAACAGATGCTTTCATTTAATGTAAAAGTTACATAATATAAAAAAAATTCTATTTAATTTACGGTAATTATTTTTTAACGTAATTTACTCAATAATAATAATGATGTGACCCAAGCTTTTATAACAACGTGCCGATTTTTATTTTCTATAAATAACCTGACACATTGGGTAATAAAGTATAGGTTAATGATGTTACGCAATTTACCTTTTTTTAATTAAAAGAATAATGTTGTTTTAAGGACGTAATTGAACAGGCAAGACTGATGTTTATTTCCTTCATTTTCTATCGGTCATTTCACCGGGAAAGCAAATGGAAAATGAATCTCAAAAAGTTTTAGGAAATCGGGTTCACCAGAGGATATGAATTAGTCCCGTTTGTTTACGGACGTTTTACACCAAAGTCAAATGGTGCGACAAAATTAATTTGCGTTTGCCTTTCACATTGCTCACCAATTTTCAAGGTTTTAATAAAAAAGAGAAAAAAAAATGTTTACTTTTTATTAACTTTAATATCCACCATTTGAACTGTTTCCCTTTATGGCCTTTTCTATATTTTTCATCATTATCGTTCAATTAATTTAAACTTAAGTAAATGTTAATAGCTCGTATGGTATTTATTTTAACAATGTATAGACTCTCCTTCCAATTTGTACCTCATTGATTTATTATTTACCTGAGAGAGAAGTTAAATCGTTTTTCCATTTTACAAAACTTTTTGTATTAATAACGATAACTATTATAAGAAATACGCTTTTGATTTTAATGAATGCTGTCTTAATAATTTCTATGAGTAGATATTCGTTTCCTTGGGTGAAGTAGAATGTTATGCTTCACTCCTTTGGATTTATTACTCGGATTTGATGAATGGGATATTCATAAAGTAGAACACCAAAAATATATTGTTATTTGTATTTTTGCATCGCCGTTGGCACGACACGTAGAATATTACAAGTATGTTTCGGTCTGGAAATACGAGTAGGACCCCTGTCTATTAACCGGATATCAGGGATTTACAGCTTATCTCTGTCGCCTGGTCCAATTTACTTCTTTTGAAGGACTTCTCTGGGATGCAATAGCCCGATGGAGTGAAATAATCAACTTCTGGAAGAGAAGAACAATTTCCGTCAACGCCCAAGAACGACGAGTTACGGCTGGGTGGATAACAAAAATAAACACATTATAAACAAAGTTTTAAAATAATAAACAGAATCAATTCTTTCAATCGCACAGTTCATTACTTTTCATTCAGCCTTGAAATATAGGATGTTAAATGTATATTAAACATTTCAGCTAATTCGCTTCAGAATCGTTCAAACGAATAATTATTACTCCCTGGATACAAAATTGAAAAAAAAATTTATTATTATGATTAAAGATTCGATCTTTACTTGTTATGCGATCAACCAGCCTTTAATACGATGTTGATTGGGATTTGGGTTGCGGTCTTCACACATACAATGTTATTTTATCAACGCCCAAGCTTTCGACAAGATTTATTGCCTTCTTCAGGGGATCTACAGAGACATAGGGACGTAATCATTTAAATAGTTATATTTTGTCACTTTGTTGTTACTTACACATACAAAGTCATAACTTACACACATTACACATTTTACGATATGTATATATACAAACCATATACATATATAATAAATAAATAAATAAAAACCTTTTCTTAATAGCCTCTTACATACATATGCATTTTTTTAAAACAGTAACTATTACTTAACAATTAGTATTCTTTAGGTTCATAAATATCAGAGGCGTTTGACTAAAAAATTGTGTCTATCACGGTATCAGGTGGGAGGTTCCCCACACTATCACCTACTGATAACAATCATTTTCCACAATTAATACAAGATCTTAATTTCTGGTACAATTTAGTACGGTAATTCTATGTTATCACAGCCTGTTATAATAAATAAATAAATAAATATCTATGCAAGTATTGTTACGATCTTTGGAGAGAGACCTGGTCTTTTTCTAGAATTACAATGTATATCACAATCAAATTATTCAAATCTGTTTTTAAATTACATGCCATGTTATCGTGATGAATAAATATCATTTCTCTCAAAAGTCTACGTATTTTGTTCTGAAGCCACAATTTTGACTCCATCGAAGTCAAAATTATGTTTCGTAGCATGGGTATGTTTGGATAGTGCTGTTCCCGGCCTTTCTTCATCACTGCAATCATACTTATGTTGCCGGCAGACGTTCCGATAAATATTGTTTCGTTTGGCCGTAATACACAGTGGGACATTGTGCACATTTGATGCGATACACTACATTAGTTATGTAGTAATTCGATCTTTACATTTGTTTTTTATTTTATTCTATTTTTATTTTATTTTATTTTAGTGACAAAATTATAGACACATCTCTAATTGTTATGATATTTTAATGTAATGGGTTTGTACAACAAATATTTATTCAAAACATATGAAATAAATATTTTTCTTCATTAAACGTTAATTTTTCAGTAAATAAGAAAAACAAATATTAAAATACTAAAATTAAACGATTTTGTCTGCGACAAAATTATAGACACAGGATAAAATCAATTTAAAACAAGGTTATAATATTTTGTGGCATTACCACTCAGTTTTATTATTTCCAGTAATCTTTCTGGAATGGTTTTGTACAAATTTTGAATAAAATCTTGGGGCAAATTATTCCAGGCAGTGGTGACAGCTGTTTTGAGTTCGTCGACAGAGTTGTACTGCTTACAGTCTTGATATACCATCATCGATAATTTTCCCCATACATTTTCTATAATGTTCAAGTCTGGTGAGATTGCAGGCCAATGAAGTTTTTCAACGCTGTTCTGTGAAAACCATTCTTTAACAATTTTTGCATTGTGTATGGGTGCGTTGTCCTGCTAGAATATTGAAGTTCGCATAAATCGCTGAAACTATTTTTTTTTTTGTCCAGTAATTTCTTGTAATATTCCAAATTGACTTTTTTTGGAAGAAAACAAAAATTCCCTTTTTTAGTAGACCCAATACACCCCCAAACCATCAAAGATCCACCACCCATTTGGCGCCGTGACAAATTTTTTTCTTCTTTAGTTAGATCATAAAAGTAGTATGCCTATCCATTCGGGCCGTCCAAATTGAATTTTTTTTCTTCAGAAAAAATAACTTTTCGCCAATAATCTTTATTTTTCAAAATGTGGTTTTCAGCAAATTTGACACGGGCTAGTTGGTGGTGGGGTTTCAGAGCTGGTTAGCGTTTCAATTCAGCTTTTATAAGGAATCTCTGAACATTTAGAACAGAAACATCAACACCTGCCTTCTCTGCGATGGCTTTTGCAGACGAAAAGCTGTTTGAAGCAACGCGCAGGATGTGCGTTTTGTCTCTTCTGATCAAGGAAGGAGGTTTTCCAGAGCTATGCCTTCTTCTATGGTCTTCACCTAGTCGTATTATCTTCGATACCGATGAAAAACTTCGTTTTATGCGTCGGGCGATATCTCGGCAGCTCATTCCATCTTCATTGTGCAAGTGAAGCAACCGGCGCTACTCATCAGAAAATCTTCTTTCTTTGGGCATTTTAAAATAACTTTGAATTGCTCTAAATGAACTTACAGTAATCACTTTACTAAAGCACGTACAGTGAATACTGAATAAACCTTTGGAGTTATAAAATAAACGTAAACAAAATGTGTGTCTATAATTCTGTCGCAGCTAAATCAAAACAATACTGTTTATTGAGATGTACATTTGTATAAGATTATCAGATCATACCATTTCCAGAGTTTATTTTCTTTTAATATCATGAACAATATTCTAATGGCAAAATAAATCATTTTTGACTGTTGAAATCGTGATTTTTTAATATGTCTATAATTTTGTCACTCGGTTGTATTTATGTAATTATTACACCTGAGACAATTGCCGTGCGTAACTGAATAAGATGTCACATTGTATGTGCATATAAATGAAAAAAAATAAAAAAGTAAGAACTACTGAATAGTAGTATCTCTTATGTATTGGCGTTAATCATGCTCACTTTCAATTATGAAGTCACGAAGCGATTAACGCTTCGATCAGGAAGGAGAAGGTTTCTGACAGGAAAGGTTTACAAGCATTTGATGAATTTTGAAAAGTAAGATTGGATACATAGAAATGAGAAAAGCATTGACGATGGTTTGGAGGAAATTGTATTGTAAGGATTGAATACGTTGGAAGTTGGAAGGTTTGGTGTTGTATATGCAAATGGTCTCCTCAGAATTGTGATGTAAATGAGTCTTTTTGTTGGGGAGTCAGTTTTAATAATTTATCTGTCTTTTAAATAACCTGAAGCGTATTGTTTTTATAGATCAACGAGGCAGTAAATAAACTAAACTAGCGCGAGTGGGATACGAAGTAGTAGATGGGACAGTGGTGATTCTGCTAAGGGTAAATAGACTTGTTGAAATTCTTGTATATTTATTGTCATTTTCCACTGCGCTCACGGGATATGATATAGGTTTGCAGTTTCCGGTTGAGATCTTGATGATTGGAAAGGATGGCCGTATCATCCTCATAGCTGGTAAGACTAATTTCGGAAAGGATAGGAAAGTCTGCGGTGTATTCTGTGCTTGGGATGGATCCTTCTCAATGAAGGAAGACTGAACAAGATATCACTATGAAGGAGTGTTGCACCTGGGTACACTACAAGAACAAATGGTAAACTCATCATATATGAACATGTTTATTTAATTCAATTTTTGTAGTTGTAAATATCAAATAAATGTAATAAAATTTTTTTTAAGTCCTAGTTAACCAATAATGTTGTGTTGATTGATTACGCTAATTTAAAAAAAAATTGATTGCTTTATTTTTTCTAGTGCCCACNTATAATTTTAAGATAACCATTGTAAAGTACATCTTATCTTGACTTATAAACATAATTTCCAGTTTATGAAGCCAGCTCTTCTTATTTTCTCTTTAGTCAAGAAATTCTATGTAATTAGTAAACTTTTCAGTTGAGAGCAATTACTGTGTTTTATTAATTTTCGCCACCAGTTTAATCTTGAACAACTTCTTAGAAATAAATTTTAGAACTAGTTCAACCGTCAGGAGTTATAGTTCTTGAAATATTGCTTCTATTGTCTGTCTAGTTCTGTCATAAACCTCAGACCAATGCTTCACACATTGCCAAAACGGTCATAATTACACTTAATTCTACTTCCTTTCTTGCAAATGGTAAACTTTAACAAGGGACATAACACATTTTTATTAAAGACAACATATTTCTTTTTTTTCTATATGCTTTTTATTTCTTCGAATATAAAATGATTATTAGCAAAGAATAGTACAGGCCTGGATCGCAATCCGTCTGCCGGAGGTCGTTGTTAAGAGAAAAAGAATAAAAGACAAAAAAAATAAGTGAAGAAATAATAATAAAGATATAAGAATTAAAGTGAGATTATAACATTATTCGCTACATGCTAGCACCCCGTCAAAAAAAGGTTAAACATAATAGTAAAACTACTTATAATAGGAAACAAACAACAGGATCTTCCTAAGAATATGAGAGAAAGAAGGGCTCTTGGCTTTTCGCAGAGAAATTCTCAGAGTGAAGGACAATATCAAAGCAAAAGTAGCAGTATTTGCGGACTCTCTCAGGATTGGAAAAGATGTCTTCACATGGTGCTCGGCTAGCGGTCTCAAACATAGAAATGAAGATGGTGTCAAGAAACTGAACGAAATGTGTGTCTATGATTTTTCGACTTTTTTTTCAAAACTTATGTGTTGGAAAAAATTTTAAGTCAAATTTATGAAAATTTCCCGTCTGCCGTGAGGTTTTATTTGATAATAATAGGTCTGTTGTAAATAACTTAAATGTTCTATCGTATAATGTCAATGGCCTAAAATCCAAAGTAAAAGATAAGCATTCCCTTAGTTTCATAAATGATGTTGATATTTTTGTTTTAATAGAGACATTTGTTACAGAAGAGTTTTGATTCTTTGATTGTATTTTTTGGAGGGTTTAAGTTAAAATGGATAAGTGCTATTAAAGAATCTCATATAGATCGTCCCAAAGGGATTTACAGGATTTAAAAAAGTTCTAAGTTGCAAAAGTAATTTTACCAGCTACTCAGGCGTTGAAACTATCGCGCTGTAAAACCAAGAGGCTAACTGTGTGTGCTGCCTATCTATTTGAGCATATCATCCTGGTATGAAGACTTTGAAAGAATGAATCATTTTCTACTCGAATACAAATCTAATAATTTATTAATGATTGGGGACTTCAACGTCAGGATTAGTAATTTCCAATCCCTTCCCTCAGAGGTGGGCCCGCATTTAAACAATTTTAGTCAGTGTAGACGTTCCAAAGACTTACAAATAAATAAACAGGGTAAGGCCTTTTTAAATGTCTGAGAAGATGATGACCTTATAATACTCAATGGGCGGTCCCCGGGTGATAGGGAGGGCGAATTCTCGTTTATTAGTGGTGTGGGTACTTCCGTAAACGATTTGGAATGCATCTCTAGTGAAGTAATCAATTATGTCTGAGAATTTCGTGTTTTACCACAAACTTTTTCCGACCACTCCTGTCTCTATCCCGTTAGGTATTCCACCAGAACCTTACTCGTTTTTGCCTGTATTACCTAAATTTAAATGGGTGAAAAGTGAATCAGATACGTACAAAAGAACAGCCAAGATGCTTTTGAAGTCGCAGCCACCTCCCTCTTCCCTGAACGCTTCTGGAACCCTCCTCGACTCCTTGCTAGATGCAATTCGGGCTGCTTGTCCGCATGCAACATGTAGTGTCAGTATGGTAGGCAAAAGGCCTTGGTTTAACAGCCGATGTGCCCTTGAGAGAGCTGGTCCTTTGCCCTTTTAAACCTCTTCCGTAACTCTGGATCTGATATTGGTAAAAAAGCCTATCTGCGTGCAAAAACCTCCTTCAGAAAACTTTGCGCTGATAGAAAAAAATAATACACCCTTTCAGCAGCTGAACAAATAAAATTGACTAGAAATTCGAAAGAGTTACGGCAAGCTATAGATACTTTCAAAACAAAGAGACATATCTGTGGAAATAATATCTCTCTCGAAGCATGGTCGCTACATTTTAAGTCACTATTGAATCCTGCCATTACTAACAAAACCCTATCTCTGAACCATATATAGTTGACTCTATTCTGGATGCCCCCTTTACCTCTGCAGAGCTGGAACCTATCCTTCCCAGGCTTAAAAGCAATACATCCCCAAGTCCTGACAGAATTCCTTACATTTCTTTATTAAAAATACTAAAATCAAATTCAACTACAATTTTAAAATAAAATTATTGAATTGACTACCAAATTTGAATATTTTCATGAAGTGAAAGAAGAAAAGCATGGATAATCTCCCTTATCGTAATATCTTCATCGTTTCAGCGATATCTCACGCGTTGTCCAGAAGTGAAGTAAATATCAGAGAAACGTATACGAAGGAACATCGACCAACGGCGGCATGTTAAAGTCTGAGACAAGACGTTGGACATTCACAAGTGTGAAATATGTTTCTAGTCAGTCGCAACTCTATACTGCAGTCCGATGGAAGTTCCTGGCTTTTATCTGACATACAACCGGAAATTTATCACGCCTATTGTGTCCCTCTAAGTGCCGAGAAAGCATTTCATTGTATGACTACAATTGTTTACAACTGTGTTAAACTTATGTAGTCATTTAATTAGAAATTACGGATACAATTTCACATTTTACCTAATGTGTGGTGATTAGTGAACGTTAATCGATATTTATTTAGAAATCGTGAGATGCGGTCTGGTGTGATGTAGGTTTCAAAAAAACATTTTCTTTATCGTGCCAACGTTTCGATCTTTACTGAGATCATCTTCAGGGCCTGGGATTTACAAACATTGTTTACATATAACAATTACATTTTGGATGTGGACAAGTGAATTTATACAGTGCAAAAAAAAAATATATATATATATTAGTATATACATATATTCAATCAAAGTATTTCTACTCACTCAAAGTGTTTGTCTTCTGTGTAATACTTGTGCAGAAATACTTTGATTGAATATATAAAAAATATATATAAATATATTTTGCATTATATAAATTCACTTTTCCACATCCAAAATGTAATTGTTATATGTAAAAATTTTTGTAAATCCCAGGCCCTGAAGATGATCTCAATAAAGATCGAAACGTTTACACGATAAAGAAAATGTTTTCTGAAACCTACATCACACCAGACCGCATCTCACGATTTCTAAATAAATTTTACCTAATATATATTAGGGGGTTTTCGGTTTTGAGAATAGTTACCGATCAACTTTTTGTTGATCTTTTGGTTTTTAAGGAATACGTTGTCTTGTTATTTTTTTATGTGTAAAAGATTTCTTTTCACTTTCGTGTCAGCCTCCGTAGAACAAATTAATTTAAGTCCCACCGACGGTTGTAACAACAAAATTGTATTTAAATACATTTAACCAAGGATTAGATAAGTTCGAGGCGTTACAGGAGTTTTCTTTGTTCGGCTACAGTTCAAGAGATAAAAAAGCGAGGTGAGAAAGAATGGGGCTCGTGTTTTAGGCTGGAGGCGAGAAAGATAAAAGCTCACCTAGAGTCGCAAGTGGTCGCAAATTGATTCGACCACCTGGGGGACATTTCGCCTAAATCCCCCATAACTCAGGGTCTAATCCTTGCCGGAAGGTTAGGCCGAGCAAAACGTATTTTGCCAATCTCTCAGCTAGTCAACTTATCCAATTAAATCATTCTAAGTTACCAATACTTGTAACATTAATAACTAAATGCGATGGGTGTTAAACATTTTTAAAATAATTGATACTACTTGTTTCTAATTGAAAATTTGCAGACAAAAATATAAAATGGATGAGATTATTTAAATTTGTATATATCCAAGATCCAGAGGTTTTAAAATAATATCATATTCTTTATTTTTTTATATCATCGCTATTAACTGCTCCTTCTATAAAAATTTCAGAAACACTCAGTATCAAGCTGTGAATTTTTGTAAGCAAAATGAATTGATAAATATTTAAATACAGTCTCATCCGTGCCGCACCTATTATATATTCTTGTGGGTGTTCTTCCAATTGTAACAACAAGCGGAACGGGGCAATTCTTTGGTCCTTCGGACCCGAGTTTCCATTCCAATCTTCCATGAAAAAATTTGTAACCGTTATTTATGAATATGCACTGGAATTGTGACAAACAGAATGTTTTGTCTCGTCGTTCGGAAAATTGTAAGCCCGTGGATTTTCATTTCAAAGGAAAGGTAGTATTTTCCCTTAGTGCCTCACCTGATACATGGGAAAAGACGGAATGTGACAAGGCATAGAAATGGATTTACTCGGACGACGAAATCGGATGAAACCGTATCATGGATGGATAAGGCAGAGATAATTTGTACAAAAACCTTTAAAATATGAGACATTTCAATTACAAAAAAAAAAAACCATTTTCTGTCTGATTAAAAACTAGTATCTTTATGATTTTTAGACAGTTATTTATTAAATATCATTTGCCAATGTTGAAATCATTTCTATTAATATGAACATATTAAAGATTATTTCTCTCTTCGTATTATAATACATGAAAGTTTTTCACATTTAAGTTACAAAAAGAAATCTACCCTGATATATACACATTTATCTGTGTAAAATTGTCATAAAAATTTCAGTTTAAGAATACTGAAATTTTTAAACAAAAGTT